GGGAGCCATTATAGGTCTGAGGAAAGATCTGGCACTAGAGAGATTTCCAGAGATTTACAAGGATGACACCAACTGACAATCTAGGCAATGGGAAGGAAATGCCCTTCCCCCATAATGAGACTCATGACTACTATAAATACCATCCTAGAGACCTCATCCAGTGGCTGATAGAAGCACAGGCAGATACCCACAGCTATATACCGAACTGAACTCTGGAATCTAGCTGCAGAGAGGGAGGAATGAAGATCAAAGGGGTTGGGACAAGGCTGGTGAAACCCACAGAAACAGCTGGCCTGAACAAGGGGAGCACATGGACCCCAGATTCCAGTCAGAGAGGCCAGCATGGGACTGATCCAGACCACTGAATGTGGATGTCAATGAGGAGACCTTGGTACTCTATGGGGCCCCTGGTAAGTTGATCAGTATTTTTCTCTGGTGTAAGAAGGTACTTTGAGAGCTCATCCCACAAGATGGGATGCTCACATCCTGGACACATGGGGGAGGGCCTAGGCCTAGCCCAGAATGATGTGGTGGACCTTGGGGAGCCCCAATGGAGGGCCAAATCTTTCCTGGGGAGTGGAGGGTGGATGTGGTGAGGGCTGGTGGGTGATTGGGAAGAAGTGTGGGAGAGGGAGAAGGTATTGACATGGGAAGCAAGCCTGTTCCTAATTTGAACTAATAAAAATGATAGAAAAAAGAAGAAGAATTCTTATGAAGAAATTGAGGAGTAGACACAATAAAATTTGGAAAGATACAGTAAATCCCTTAAATAAAGTTAAGATAACCAGGGGAAATAAATCAAGACCAAGACTTGAAAATTGAAAAGTAACGAATAAACAAAACAGAAATGGATGGAATTTTGGACATGGAGAATGTAGGAAAAGAACAGGAACTATAGATACAAGCTTAAAAACAAAATGCAAGAGATGGAAGAGAGAATCTCAGGTGTTGAAGGCAAGATAGAAGAAATAGATTCATTGGTCACAGAAAACATTAAAACCAATGAAGTCATAACATAAAATGTCCAGGTTATCTGAAATACCATGAAAAGACCAAACCTAAGAATAATAAGGGTAGAAGGAGAAGCATACTATGTGAAAAGCACAAAAATATTTTCAGCCTGGCGTTGGTGGTGCATGCCTTTAATCCCAGCACTTGGGAGGCAGAGGCAGGTGGATCTCCATGAGTTCGAGGCCAGGCTGGTCTCCAGAGTGAGTGCCAGGATAGGCTCCAAAGCTACACAGAGAAACCCTGTCTCAAAAAAACCAAAAAATATTTTCAACAAAATCATATTAGAAAACTTTCCCAACATAAAGGAGAAAATGCCTGTGAAGATACAAGAAGCTTAAAGAGCACCAAATAGACTGGATCCAAAAGAAATATGTCCTCATGCCACAAATGATTGCAACACATTATACACAGAGTAGGGAAACAATACTAAGAGCTATAAGGAAAACTGTTAAGAAACATAGGAAAGCAAACCCATTAGAATAACATCAGACTGTTCAATGAAGACTCTCAATACCAGAAGGTCTGGGACAGACATTATGCAGACTCTAAGAGATCTTGAATGCCAATCCCAACTGCCATTGCCAGCAAGAATTAACATAGAGGGAGACAAAAGGTATTCCATGACAAAACCAGATTTAAACAATACTTATCCATAAATCCAGCCCTACAGAAAGCACAACAAGGAAAAGTCCAACCCAAGGAGGTTAGACATATCCAGGAAAGCACAGACATTAAATAATCCACACTATCAAATCACCCCCTTCCACACCTCCACCACCAAAAAAATAACAGGATACATAAATCACTGTTCATTGATATCCTGTAATGTCAATGGACTCAACTTACCTATGATAAGGCACAGACAAACAGAACATATAGGAAAAGAGGATCCATCCTTCTGCTGCATAAAAGAAACATTGCTAAAGCTTAAATCACACATCAAACTTCCATAAAACTTCCTGTTAAAAGCAGGAGACTTTAACACCCAACTCTCACTGGAGAGAAAACTAAATGAGAAATAAGGGACCTAACAGATGGTATGACTCAAATGGGCTTAACAGATATTTTTAGGACATTCCACCCAAACACACACACACACACACACACACACACACACACACATCCACCTTATTCTCAGCATCCTGATGGAACCTTCTCTGAAATTGACCACATACTCAGTTACAAAGCAAATCTCAAGAGATACAGAAAAGTTGGAATAACATCCTGTGTCATATGGGATCTCTATAGCTTAAAGTTACAATTCAACAACAACACAATTTCTATAAAGCCTAAAAACTCATGGAAACTGAATAACGCCCAACTTCATGATACCCGTGTTAAGGAAGAAATAATGAAAGAAAGTAAACACTTCCTAGAATTTAATGAAAATTAACGTATGACACTCAAAATTATGGGACACCATGCATCAGTGTTAAGAGGAATTTTCATAGAACTGAACACACAAATAAAGAAGTTAGAGAAACTGCATACTATTGAATTAACAAAACATGTGAAAGGTCTAGAACAAAGGGCTGTAATCAATGAAATAGAAATAAAGAGAAAAATGAAATAATAAATCAAACAAAGGTTTGGATTTTTTGAGATAATCAATAAGATAGAGTAACCCTTATCCATACTAGCCAAAAGGCAGAGAGACAATATCCAATTGAAAAACTCATAAATGAAAACTGGGACATAATAACAGAGACTGAAGAAATCAAGAGAATCATTAGTTAATACTTTGAAAACCTGTAATCCAGGAAATTTGAAAAATTATTTCAAATGGACAATTTTCTAGATAGGTATCACAAGACCAGATAATCAAGTTATATATACCTATAACCACTAAGAAAATAGAAAATGTCACAACAAGTATCCCAACCAAATACCAAAACCAAAACCAAAACCAAATAAACAAAAGCATAGGGCTGGATGGTTTCAGCACAGAATTCTACCAGAACTACAAAGAAGAGCTAATACCTATACTCCTCAAACTCTGCACACAATACAAATGAAAAGAATAACACCAAATTCATTTCATGAAGCTACAGTAACCAAAATGCCCAAACATCAGAAAGTTGCAACAAAGAGGACTAAAATCCAATCTCCCTCATGAACATTGATGCAAAAATACTCAATAAAGTACTAAAAATCTAAATTTAAGAACACATCAGAAAAATAATCCACCATGATCAAATAGGCTTCATCCCAAGGATGCATGGTGGGTTCAACATATGGAAATCTTTCAACATAATCCATCATATAAATAAAGTATAAGAAAAAACCCACGTGATCTTCTCATTAGATGATGAAATATCTTTGCAAAATTTCAGCACCTCTTCATGATAAAAGTTCCTAAGCAGTGAGGGGTAGAAGGAACATACCCAAACGTAATAAAGGCAACATAGCAAGCCAACAGCCAACATCAAACTAAATGGAGAGAAACTCAGAGCGATCAAGGGCATATAAATTGGAAAGGAAGAAGTCAAACTATCAGTATTTAAAGATGATGTGATAGTATACATAAGCGACCCTAAAAATTCTACCTAGAAACTCCTAGAGTTGATAAACACATTCAGTGATATGGCAGAATACAACATTACCTCAAAAAATCAGTAGCCTTCCTATATACACGTGTTAAAGGGGCTGAGAAAGAAATGAGAGAAACATCACCCTTTACGATAACAACAAATGTAAACTATCTTAGGTTAATGCTAACGAAACAAGTGAAAGACCTATACAACAAGAACCATATCCCTAAAGAAAGGAATTGAAGAGGATATCAGAAAACGGAAAGATCTCCCATACTCTTGGATAGGTAGGATCAACATAATAAAAATGGCAATGCTACTAAAAGCAGACTACAGATTCAATGCCATCCTCATGAAAATTCCATTACAATTCTTCATAGACTTTGAAAGAACAATACTCAAGTTCATATGGAAAATCAAAAACTGCAGATAGATAAAGCAATCCTAAACAACAAAGGTACTTACATAGGCATTGCCATCCCAGACTACAAACTCTACTATAGAGATATAGGAATAAAAAACTGCTTGGCATTGGCATAAATAAAGACAAGTGGCTCAATAGAACCAAATGTAATGAATTCACACACATATGAACATCTTATTGTTGACAAAGAAGCCAAAATGGTACAATGGAAAAAGAAAAACCTCTTCAACCAATAGTGCTGGCAGAATTGGATATTAACATGCAGAAGATTGCAAATAGATCTGTGTCTATTGCTAGGCACAAAACTCAAATCAAGCAACAGTTACATTGAACGTGACAGAAGCGCAAGTGGGAAGCAGCCTAAAATGGATTTGCACAGAACTGTGGGGAAAGATGTGTATCAACCCCACATCCGTCAGAGATCAAAGCTCCAAATTTTATAAAGAACTCAAGAAACTAGACATAAAATACAAAAAAATCCAATTGAAAATCGGGGTAGACAACTATCATAGAATTCTCACTAGAAGAATCTCAAATGGTCAAAAGACTTTTAAGCAAGTGCTCAACATCCTTAAAGGCAAATCAAAATGACTCTGAGATACCATCTTACACCTGTCATAATAGCTAAGATAAAAAATACTGAGGACAGCTTATTTTGGAGAGGATGTAGAATCAAGGAAATACTCCTCCAATGCTGGCAGGATTATAAACTTATATAGCTATGTTGGAAATCAGTATGACAGTGTCTAACAAAATTTTCAATCAACCCCCATTGATATCACTTTGTTAATTTACCCAAAGGACACTCAATCATACCACAAGGACATTTGCTCAACAATGTTCATATCATCATTATTTGTGATAGCCATTAACTGGAATCAATCCAGATGTTTCCCCCTCCTCAGTTGAAGAATGGCTAAGAAAAATGTGGTATATTTACACAATGGAGTACTAGTAGGTGGTAAAAAATACTGACCTCATGAATTTTTTTTTAAGGCAAATAGATGGAACTTGAAAAAGCCAACCTGAATATGGTAACCTGGTCTCAGAAAGAGAAACACGGTATGTATTCACTCATAAGTTGGTATTAGATATATAGCAAAGGATAACCAGAGTAAAGACTTCAGCTGCAGAGAATCTCCGTAGCAATGAGGATCCTAAGAGGGACACATCATTCACCCAGGGAAGAGAAATGAGATATCTACAGGCAAAATCTAAGGGTGGGAGTGGTAAGGAATAAGGGGATGTTTGGGGGATTGAGAACAGGAGGGATTGAGGTGGCCTATTTGTGGAGGGAGGAATTGGAAGAGCAATGGAAAAGATATATTGATAGAGAAAACCACCATGGTATTAGGGAGAAACCTGGTGTTAGAGTAACTACCAGCAATCTACTAGGAGGATCACAAGTAAGATTCCCAACAATTGTAGAGATGATGCATGAACTGGCCTACTCCTGTAATCAGTTTGATGAGTATCTCAAGTATGATCATAGATTTCCGAATCCAGTAATTGATGGAACCAAAACCACAGATCTACAACTGAGAATCAGCCAAGTTCCAGTAATGCAGACAAAGAGGGGGAGGAGGGAACATTTGATCAAGGGAGGTCAAGATCATACTGGAGATCATACAGAGAGACCTGAACAAATCTCATTGAAAATGATGGACACTAGGTATACAACTGTGGAGACTTCAGGGGACTGAAGAAAGCCCTCCATGGGTGGTAGATGCTTGTGAGTCTTGGATTATCTGTGGGGACCCTGGTAGTAGGACCATGATACAAACCTTGTATATGAGCTAGCTTGTTGAAGCATATTTCCTAGGGTGAGATGCCATACTTACTCACAGTAGGATCATGAATAACTCCAGAACATAAGCTAGCTAGTTGGAGCCAATTTCATATGGTTGAAATGCCATGTTCAATCCTAATCCCTGTGAGAGGCCCCAAGCCCTGCCCCAACCTATTATGCCAGACTATGTTGACTCCTCTTTGGAGCCCTTTTTAGTCAAGAGGAGTGGACTGGGGATGAACTGGGGGAGAGGTGAGGGAGGGTGGGAGTAGGTGAGGGGAATGGGTATAGGGATTGGAGGGAGAACTGTGGTTGGAATGTAAAATTATATAAAAATTAATATATTGAAAAAACTCCAAAACCAAAAAACTAAAACAGAACACACTACTCATTTTTAGATAGACTGAAGGAGGTCTTTAGAGACATTGCATGTTGGGTTCAATGAAAAGTGGCAATTATAGGCACAGACATGTGAATGAATATATCTCAAATGATGGTACCATAGGGAGAGTTATTAAAACATTAACATTTGTAGACATATGGCAGAATTATTTCAGTGTTGGGGAACTGAACATTTATGAGATTCACCACAATTTCAGTTTTCTCTCAATACTTCTTGTGTCTTTCCAGACACATCCAGATTCTGGTTCCTGGCTATCTCTCCATAGATGTCACACCCCTGCATGACTCTTGAGCAAAAGGACTCATACGTTAAGTACTATAAGTCAAAATAAACCCATTTTCCAAAAGTCACCTTTTGCGATGGTGTTTTGTCATAGCAAGAAAATGTAACTATTATATAGTTTTGTGGTGTGAATCACAATTTAAGAGACTGTTTCCAGCAGAATATCCTATGAGATATTATGGAGATTGAGCATCTCCCTTCTCAGGTACACCTAATTCATGTTAAGTTGACAAAAATTTACCAATGCATGACTGAATATTAAGAGACATTTCAACATAAAATTCCATCTTTAATAATAAGGGAATAGTACAATACTGTGTACACGTAGTTATTGTTATTCTTCCCTACTGGGATTTTACAGTATGTGGTTTTGAGTTAAAATCCAGGTTTTCTTTTACTGGGGGATAAATTTGTGTTATTAGGACGAGTTTAACGATTTAAAATGAATCATAACTCACCTCTGAATATATTTTTGGCCATTGTATCAACTGTTCAGATAATGACAAATGTTGACCCTGGGGAGCATTGGGTACAAAGGTTCCCACTTTCACTTTCAGTCCAAGACCCTTTGGAAAATTCCAAAAGTTGAGAATATCATAGTTATCACCTAACTCCTGTTTCCAATCTAAAGCCATTTTGTCTCTGACATGATTATTCCTCAAGAAATGGTGAAGCTGAAAGGAATGGAAGGACATATTTTATAGTAGGTTTGAGAAGTTGTCCAGAAATAGGTTATAGAATGACTCTCATTGTTTATATAAACTCTGGTGTAGGACAACACACTAATGGAGCTATCACTGAGTCTGAGAAATGGTAACAGGTGTTAAAGTGATGACACTGTGTTGTTCTAGGGACACGTAGCTTCAACAAAATCTTCTAAACAGACTCAGGAAAGGAATCAATGAGTATTGATAGATGTAAATCTCAACTTCTCTTTAAAAAAGCTAAGCACTTTTAGTTACATACATAGTATATCTCAAAGTCCCATGAATCAAATGTGGACACTGACTACTAAAGGTTAGTTAAATACATCATTTATGTATTAAAAACTTGTACTTATTAGAGGGAATTGCTTCAGAATTTGAGAATGATTGGTTTTCTAATGGAATCTCTCACAATGATAAGGTCATGAGACTATTTCTGACACAATCATTGTCTTCAATAGTATCATTTCCTCCTTGCCACTAGGACCCCATTCCCTAGCAACATGCACACAAAGAGCTACACTGCCTTGTAAGATAGGATAACAAATTAAGATTCTCCTTCCATTTTTAAATATAATATTCAAATATGTAATACCTAATATGTAGAATATATAAATTCTCGAAAAATGTCACATTGCTGAAGCTCTAATACAATGGACAGGGCTTTACCTGCCAGGGAAAGAACGCCATTTCTTTCTCATTTCCAAATGGTTGCGTTTGTACTTGCTGAAGGCTCATCTCATGGAGACTGTGGGCAACAGTATATACAGCCTTGTATATATTATAACTCTCTTCACTCATTGCCATGTCAAAAATGTGTCTAGGCAGGGATTCCAAGGAAGCATTTTGTTGGCATGTTTTCAAAAGTTGACAATCAATCTCTGAGAATGTGCATTTGAAGAACAAAAACCATACCTTTGGAAGGTAAATGTCTTCTGGGTAGTTGAAAGGATTTACTGTTTTGATAAAATTTGGAAATTCAACCAACTGTTCATGTTGAAGTGAGAAAATGAGACTTCCATGGAATGAATCTAGCAAGAAATAATCACCGTGGTTGGTAACATCCCATTGAGAGTTCATGATCCAGACTTTCCATGTCAAAAACTGGTTCCCCAGATTTAGCATCAAACCTTGTAGTGAATCACTGTCACCAAAAATAATGATGATATTCACCAATGATTCCTGTATTTTCCCCATATGTGCCCAGAATTTGTGGGAAAATGAAGTCCATGTGCTTGAGATCATTTCCACAAAAGCTATACAGACACTATTTTTCTCCATATTTTTTCTTAAATCTGACAGAAACTCAGTTCCTCTGTGGTCATCTGGAAGAAGCAGACCTACCCAATTCCAGCCAAAATGAACCATCAATGAGACCATGGCAAGTGACAGATTGCCTTTGGGAGCAATCTGATAAAGAGAATTAAACTGACTTTGGTCACTCAAGATAGAATCAAAAGGACCAATGGCAAGCTGAAGAGAAAGCAATTAGGAACAATAGTCAAACAATGGTATCAAACACAATATCCATTCTAAAGGAACAGATAGCAATACTCAGATTGCTTTATCCTGATTTTAAAGGTAAACTTCTGTGATAGAATTTGAAGTGAATTACTGAACTCTTCATTTTTTTAACCAGTCTTCCTTGTCTATTCTATCCCCCCTTTCTGTTCTGAGT